GTTTTTGAAGATGATGGTCCGGGTACAGCAGTGTTTGAGGTTGTTGTAGTATTTGAAGTTAAATTCTCATTAGTATTTGAGTCAGTCATAGTAACATCATCATCAGGATTAAAAACTACATATATATATTGTTGAGCTAAATTATTGTCTAGTGTAATGTTAGAATCTTTAAGGATATTTGCATAATTAATATTTTGGTGTAATGTAGTATTATTAGAGTCTGAAATAGATGGTGTTGTTGGTTTAGATATTTGGAAAGTTATAATATTTGGTTTAAATAGATTAGCTACTATTTTAGGGGTTTTGAAGTTGATCTTAAATTTGTGTGTAGTGTTTTTTTAGTTTTGGGATATGCTTTTTCATTGTAATATTTTCTGATATATTGGATAAATAATTTATCACTCTTTTTAGAAAGAATACAAAAATAAGTAAGAATGTGAGCTAAATAGCCAGTGTCTATTGGTTTGGATATAACTTGAGAAATAACCTAATAGACAGGTTGGCCTTTAATGTCATCATTAATTGCAGCTGCTTTAAGATATTCATTAAAGTAGCTATAAAAATAGTAGCTTTCTCTAGCAGGGTTAGTTTCAATATTGTTTAGTTCCATATATTCATCTTTTTTTTCTATAGCAAGTTTGCACATGAATGAAATGGGTATAGGTTTTTTAAAGGTCACCATATATGCTTTTTCTTTTTTAAAGATAAAGAAGTCTAGGATTGGTTGGTTTAATCAAGGTTTAGAGATAAAGTATTCAGGTGCTGGATAATAGTCAAATAATTTTGTAAAGTAAAATCTTGATAAATTCTTGATGTTGTGTTCTTTGTCTTTAGAGTGTGAATCACATTATTTAATATTACATATGAAATAGTACTTGTTTATAGGCTTCAGCCAATCGCTTTCATAGAGAGTTAATAGTTGACATAGTAAAAGTTTTAGGTAGGAGTATTTTACAATTTTCAGATAATTTACTTGCAATATCATATTTGATGAAGTTATAGACCTTCTTTTCATCACTTTTGTATAATTTTTGTTTGTAAAGATTAAAAAATTTTTGGAACCAAGCATCAAAGTAATCAGAGTGTTTTTTAAGTGAGGATGTTTCATAGGTAGAGAGAAATTCTTTTTTAGAAATATTAATTAAAATGTTGATGTTAAAAGAATTGTTATTCTAAATTTTAATTAAGGGTTGGTTAATAGCATCTATACTATAAAAATAATGAAGTCTGAATCAGATTAGACAGATGTTTAAATCTTTGCCGAATTTTTTAGATTAATTGTTTGATATTTTCTATGAAGTATAAGGTGAATGCAGGCTAGGTTTAATGCCACTTAGTTACAGTTAGAGATAATATATGGTGAAATAGTATTATATGCAGTTAGAATCTTGGAGTAATCGCTTTGAGTAAACAAGGTAGTGGTGAATTCTTTAAGTAATGATGTAAGTATTGTATGAAGGATATCAAATGGGATAGAAATAGCTCTATCGATATCTGTATTATTATCATAAATAAAATCAGTAAGGAATTTAGGGCACAAATTTGCCAATTTATTGAATAGATATTTGTAAGTAAATTTGAATTCAGGGTTAAAGCCTTCTGCTTTAGTAATATTGCCAGGGTAGACATCAATTAAATGAGGTTTAATAAATTCAAAAAGCTGGTAAACTAGTGGGTTGTCAAATTTTGTAAAGAGTTACATATTTTCAGAGATTAGATATTCCTTAAACTAGTCTAAGTCTTTAGATGTATCTCTAGTAGGTCTTTGTTTTTGTTACTGCTATTTTTGTTTATCAAGATTTTTGTCTTAGTTATTGTTATCATTTTGTTGTTGTTGTTTATTTGCTTTTTCTTTTCCTTTTTGGTGTTGTTTCTGTTGATTATTTTCTGATTGTTTTTGATGTTGTTGATTTTCATTATGTTGTTTAGGGAATAAAAAAGATAAGATTTCACCTTTTTCTTTATAAGAAAGTTTTCGAAGTTTGACTAGTGCAATAATGAGTTGTTGTTTAGAAGTAAGAGGAATGCCGTTAGTTGTTTTGATAAAGCAAACCATCATTTGTTGAACAAAATTTAATGGGACTTTTGGTAAAGGTATAAGTTTTATATCTTGAATATGAGCCATACAAGCTCTGTGAATAAGCTTGTTTTTAAAGATAACTGATACAACATAGTCAGGGGAATGGTTGTTTAGTTCAGTTGCAACACAAGGGAGTGTTTTGTGTTTACAGATAACACAAGTATGATA